TGAGTGAAGCGATCGAGCAAAACCAAGTAAAACGAAGAAGAAAAGATGGCAAACTTACTTCGCTCCTGAGACGATCATCCCGGAGGAACTCAAAAACTCTCTGGGGGCTCACAGGCATCCAGAGGGAAGTAGCGGCGCTTAGAACGATTCCTGGCGGCTCCCCAGGATTGTCGATGCTCTTACGCGTCATGACTCGCACGTCATCCTCGCCGCTGCCCGAGAGAGTCGTCCAGGTGTGCACCGTCGATGCGCTCACACCCGCGCAGAAGTTATTGGTCATTCGCTGCGCCAGCTTCAGCATGCTGCGACGTCCGGTAGCGTTGGAAATCACTGCAAAGAAAAGCAAGGATTGATCAGCTGGACCATAGCTAGAAACTAAAGAAAAATCTGTTTTTTCGCTAGAAAAGAAGAGTTTTTTACCGCCTAGATCTCGAGGGGAGATGTTGGTGGCCAAAAGAACTGCCAAACGCTCGCACTGGCGTTGCAAAGTTGCGAGCCATCGCTTGGCACCGAATGCTAGACCGCTGCTCACGAGTCCGCGGTACATGTTGTTTACTTGGCGATCATCGTACTCCATATGCTGAAGAATGGTCACCTGGAACCGCAAGGTGGTGTGAAAAAACGAGAGGAAAAACCATGGCTTACTTTGCTGTATCCGTTTGGCATGTCTTGGATCAAAAACCCCGAGGGACGAAGCCTGTTCCGGAGCTGTGGAGGTGGATTTTCTCGCAGACCGTCCACTGAAACATCGACTATCGCCCACACTCCTTCCGCGTGTTGCTTGCAGTAGCGCAAAAAGTAAGCCTCTCTCGTCGGCACCAGCGGTGATAACACTTGAAACTCGGCATACATCTGCAAGAGAAACAAAGAAAATCTATGCTTGAAAGCTCGCAAGGAGAACTTGAAGCAAACTCGAGACCAGCAATGCAATCTAGAAAGAAAATGCAAACTATGAACTCACAAGAAACTAAAAAGGATTCGTATACTCACAAGTTGTAATGCATTGTTCCAATTACCACCCACGCCAGTGGAGAGAACTTCGGAGGTCAAAGCTCTAGAAATAATACATGAGAACATATCCATCCATCTTCCCTGAAAAAAACAAAGAAAAGATTTTTCTCAGTATAAAATACCAAAGAAAAGAAAAGCTTTACCGCGTCCATGATAGTGTCAACCAAGGCAGCTCCATTCATCATCACGAGACCAGTGTCGCGAGTAACTTCGGCCTTGAGTCCTACAGGCGTTGGTCCCAATCCTCTGGAAAACTGCTGCATATATTCCTCGCCATTCAAGCTTTCCTTAGCTCCATTCTCTTCCAGGATCCACAGTGGCTCTCTCGATTGAGCCAGTGCCAGCAGCTCCTCCATTGCGATGATCGCGAGCTCCGCGACGAGCGGCTTCTCCACCTGTGAAAGTCCCCCCGGACGAGTGGCAAGCTCCAGCATCGATGGTCCAGGAGTAACTGCTAGAGCGCTGTTCGACTGTGGTCCAAACGCCGCAGCACTGGGATCCAGCGACGTCCCCGGTAAGCTCGTCTGGACGCTAAGTCCGTGAGGAGCTCCGCCTCCGGGTTTGGAGAGGTACTTGGCTGCTAGAGACGATACTCGATCGAGCTGCATGGAGCGAAAGAAAAGTTCCATCAACTTTTGAAGACAAAAATAAAGATTTTTTCCTTTGCAGCAAAGCTTACTTCGTCTTTGAGATGAGCGTTTTCGATTCGCAGCTGCTGCTCGTCGTAGGACATCTCTCCCAACGTCGCGGGGCCGCCACAGTGCGGACAAGTTGCGTTCTTGAGAGCCTCTCGCATCGCAATGTTTTCGGAGCGGAGGCGTTCGTTCTCGGCCCTAAGCATGGAGTTTTCCGCTCGTTCTTGATGTGCCTGTCTAAAACTTTCGAATTACACCCAGAACCAGCACTCTCTTTCTCGAAAAAATGACCAAAAAAACTCTTTTTTCCTCCATTCTCCTCGAAGACTTTGATGCTTACCTTCATCTGTGTGCGACGATTTTGGAACCAAAACTTGACTTGCCGGGGCTCCAGTCCCAGCTCTCGGCTGAGCTGCATTCGTTGCTTCTCGTCTGGGTGAGGACATTCTTTGAAGACCCTGAAAGAAAAAAAAAATGCAAACGAAGACAAACATCGGTAAGATACGAGTCAATGTAACAATGACAATAAAAAACTGAAAAGAATCGAAAGAAACCATCATCGGGACCTACGAGTGAATGAGTGAATGAAACCAGCAAGAAAAAGGAGAGAAGAGCAAGAGAGAGGAGCAAAAGCTTTAGAACTTAAAGAGATTCTCGAGGAAGGAGGAAACTTTCAAGACTTACATTTCCATCTCTTGTATCTGGCGGAGCGTGTGTCGGTGAAATCTCCGCTTGCGAGGTGGCTGATCACTCGGTTCCTGATCTTCACTAGAAGCTCCCTCCATTCCGGGCTCACCACCACCACCGCCACCACTGCCACTACCACCAACACCGCCGCCACCGCCGCCGCCGCCGCCACCACCGGATTTGTTCTCATCCTCCGGAAGCTTGCTTCCACCTCCAGCACCACTTCCAGACCCCTCCAGCCCGCTTGGCTGCATTAAATCACGACTAAACTCGAGGCATCAGTACTGGCAAGAGTGGAAAATCCAAATTTTAGACACTGAGCTCCTGGAAGAGAAGCTATGGAAACTCTATGGAGCTCTAGAGATGGCAAAAGAGGAAGAGAAGGAGTTACTTACGAGCCCAAGGCACAGCCCCGAAGTGTTCTTGTGTGGATGAAGCAGCGGCACAGGCATCATCACCATGCCTGGAAGATAGTTGTTCGTGTTGTTGTCAAATCCTCCTGTCCAAGCTCCGGGGTTCTTGTGAGCATCGCTAGTGAAGATAGTCGCCATTCCTGTCACTGGGAGGAGCCTGCTCGAAGTAGCAGTGAGAAGAATTTTTGGAGTTCTTGGTCACTGCAGCTTCAACCTCTCCCATGTCTCAAAGAGATTGAGCGAGAGAGAGAGAGATGGTCGCCGTGGAAAAGTATGATTTTGGTAAGCGAGGAAGGAGTGAATCACGTCTTCCTTGAGAGAAAGAGAGAGAAGGAAAGGCTACGAAGTTGTGAGCTCTTCTTTCTCTCCCCGTCTCTCCCTTTCACGGGCTCAACGCTCTCTCACGGCGGCTCCCGCGAGATTAAAACGCTGGATTCACAACGAGTGAGAAGGAGAGATTCACAAGAACAAGCAAAGAAGAAAACTCACTCTCGAGACCCCTTCTTCTTCGAGGTTCCATCTTTGTTGTTCTTCCTGAGTTCCTGGATATGGATATGGATTCTAAAGTTCTCCTTCTTTACTGCGAGAGCTATGGAGGAGGAAGCTAGCTAGAGTCTAGCTATGGGGGCTCAGCAGCTCCAAGAGATCCATTGACATTCCTGATAACAAAACACGTACACGTGCGGTGGATTAGTGTATAGAAACATCTCACGAAAAATCATGAATACGAGCGATCGAGAGACTCGACTTTCTCATTCTCTCACCGCGAGAGAGAGAGTTTACGAGAGGCAAAAGTTTAAAACGCTCAAGAGAGAGAGAGAGTGAATGAAGAAAAGAGAAGAAAAGAATAGAGAAAGAACAAGTGTGTTCTTGCTTGTCTGCGTGAAAGTTTTTGTACTGTATGCCTACAGGTATGCCAGCGAGTTATGCATTACGACTTTCCAGCTCTATACTGCTGCTATACTACCTGAGGGGATAAAGAGATGGATGGAATTCATGAATCCATGGATTCATGCGAAAGAAAACACGCAAAAAAAAGAGAGAAATGGAAAAAAAAAGAGAGAAAAAACCGAATGAGTGAATGAATGAGCGAGTGACTGAGTGGAGTTGCGCGAGTGACTGAGTGAATGAAAGAAATGGAATTGAATGAATGGATGAGTGAATGCTGGAAACAAGAAGCTCATAATGGAGATCACAATAAGACCACCAAACGAAACGAAGAGAAACAACAAAGGTCGAGCAAAAAAAAAGAAAAAGAAGAAAAAGATGGTTTTTGTGAGAAAAAAACGCAAAAAAATTCCTACCGCGCTGCTGCTCCTGCTGCTACTGCCGGCTTGGCTGGCGTCTTGGCTGAGGGTTCATAAAGAAGAAAGAAAGCACGAAACGAAGGAGGAAAAAAAGAAAAAAATCTCGTCTTGCAATGGACAAGAGCGAGAAGTAGTGGGTTTTAAATGCTCCGACTGTTTGAGAAGATCCTGGTGGGGATTGCGAATGCGACCAAAAGCACAAAAGGGCCACACGAGAAAGAGGGTGGGGAAATAACAGACATGGGGTCCTCGTCCCTACTTCTCGTGTTGTGCCCAAGCAACGAGAAAAAAACGGACACACCATCTTACAGCAAATGCCCGGTCTGGGCATTTGCGCTAACACGACCCACAAGCAAATCCCGATAGCCAACAGGAATCCAGCATTGACCCACCGGAGATCGCGACGAGAGAAATCGACCCATCAAGTCGGATTGATCTGAAAGATCGACCCAGATGCGGGATCCAATCGGGAAAACAACGCGGCGATGGAATGAAAAGGAAGAGAGAGAGAGAAGGGAGGGGGGGCAAACGCAATGCAATGGCAATGCAAGTGCAGTGCAATGGACTGGCAGGCTTTGCTTACCTCGTTGTATTCTCGCATTCGCGGTGCCAGGAAAGTTTATGGAGGCTCGGCCAAATCCACCGCCAAAAAGGAAGAGAAAATAAACTCTTATATATGTGTATGCACAACACACGCTCTTCTTCTTCCTCCTGGCAGTTGATCAGTGGTGAATTGTATAGTCCTAGAGGCACATCAATCCAATCAATCACCCGGGAACACGATTCTTCCCAGAGATCGATCAAAGGGCCGCGCTTATAAGCTTTGATCGCTAAGCTGGGACGTCTAGATCTATACGGTGGAAGTGGAAGTGGACCTTCTTCTTTGGTCGCTTCTATTCTATCGAGCAGCGGGCAGTCGCAGACTGGGCGAGTCAGAGGGCTGCTCGCCTTTGGACTTTGCGCATTTGGTCTTCTCAACACAACCAACCAAAGATGATATTTTTTGTGGCTTTTCTTTTGGAATTTTCTCGGGAAGTAAAAAAGACAAGACAAACAAGAAAAACAAAAAATTTCCAGACTATTGGGAGGAAAAAAAGATTCGAAAAAATTGTAATAGACAGTGTCCGCATATTCGTTTGTCATTTTGGTGTCCTTTAACCCCTTGTTTGCCCTAAGACAGGATCTAGGGTCCAGATCTCGCCACGTCAAAAAGTACAACGCATCGATGGCTCTGCCGCTCCCTCACCAGCGCGCGCCACGTGTCGCAGCGCCATCCCGATCCTAGCCGTTGGGTGGCAAACCAATGGCTGGGATGGGATTAGGGCTGAGCCAGCGGCATTTCTCCCGCGATGGCCAAGGTGGAGGTTCACAATCCATGGGGGAAATATCGCGTCGTGAGCACCAAGCCGATGCCTGGAGCGCGATGGATCCAGCTCCTCGTCGATGGCGGATGCCGTGTAGAGGTGAGAGATCTCCCCTTTCTTTGGAAGCTTTCGTGAAATTGCGTGAAATCTCGTCTTTCTCGTGCATTCTTGGATGCTTTCTCGGTCTTTAATCTCTCCCGGACGAGAAAGAATCGTCCTCGAGTCCTTTTTGCTTTCGATCGCTCGCTTGTCCCTCATGAGTCCTTGGATTCATTCTCTGCGCATTTATTTTCCAAGGTTTGCACGGAGGACAAGATCATTCTCAGCGTGGAAGACATTGTCGCGCTCATCGGCAGCAAATGCGACGGCGTCATCGGCCAGGTATCGCGAGAGCCAAAATTTATGGTTCTTTGCTTCCTTTCCACTTTGCTGGATTTCTTTTTAATACCAAGTGTTTCTCTACTATAGCTCACTGAGGACTGGGGCGATGCTCTCTTTGGAGCATTGAAGAAAGCCGGCGGCCACGCCTTTAGCAACATGGCAGTGGGCTACAACAACGTTAATGTGGACGCTGCTACGCGGA